CCAGCCGTATCCCTGAAAAAGAAAATAAAACCGAGCGTGGACACTTTTGTCGCTCTACAAGCAGCCATTCAATCTACAGATGGAAAGTCAAATTCTGTGCTCTAGCAATATTTCAATGCCATTTCAAGCCACATTTTATGGCGCGTAACTCCTTTACCCTCTGAAGGGCTTTCTTAAGCACAAGCTAGTTCAACAGAAGGTGATTTGACAGCACTCACCAAATCTGTAGCTGAATGCGGTAGTTGTCAACGTTGTAAGTTTGCAAAACAAAGTCGATGCCTTTAAAGAAAAGCCGAAAAATAAATGACCTAAAAGGTCACATCATCGATGCATGTTGGTGTCAAACAAAAATTCAGGTGTAACATTTCATTGAACCAAAAGACTAGCTATGTACCGATTGTAGAAATCATTGTGGGATTGAAGGGTTCACCGACCGCTGCTCGAATCAATGATGTTTTGCCCACACCAGATTCGCCCAGCAGAACAATTTTGTACCTAGCATCGTAGCGTGCATTGTCGGCATCGCCATTTACCCTCGCTTCCGAGTGATGGTTGTGTCTCAGTAGGCCCGGATCCAATCGTTTTAAAGTGTTGACCAAATTTCGAGGTTTGGAGGGTTTATTGGAGTTAGGAGCACTGGGAAGGGATGCTGACACGGGTCGTCGAACTTTCTCACCTGCCGACATTGAAAGTGAGTTTGCTGAAATTTGAACAAGAGGGACTGGAGGATGATCAACAGGCATCTTGCTTGAATAAGTTGGCCCTCACGATGGAGAAGCCGTGATCTGAGAACCATCTGGAAGTTGGACAGTTTGATGCACCATCAAATAACGCCTTAGCACTCGCAACAAAAATGCTTCAATTCTGACTCGAGTGAGTCACAGAGACAATATTTATATTGCTGGATTTGGTACTATTTCTGCCTCGGGATTTAGTACAAAGTTCAAAAACTCCACTTGGTACATATTCGAACGGAGAACAGACGGTCACTTTAGTTGACAATTTGGTTTACTCACACACATAGGGATGACCTTATAACTATTTCAGGTGGGAAGCATCACTCAAGAAGTTAATCCAGGTTTCTGGTAGTCCTAAACTGAAAGGATCGGAGACTAGATTAAAAGAGAATTCCTCACCAAGTGTAACTTATTTGCATAAATCATGCAGACCATGAGCACATTAGACTTTCCAGTTGTACCACAAAGTTGCGTTTTACGAATACAAAAAGGGGATGCAGTCC